CTCTCCTTGCCGCTCCGCAGCCCCAGGGCTGGAAGAGTTGCCGCACTCCCCAAGCTTCCCCGTCACCACTCCCCACCTCAGCCACGCCCGAGTGCAGCAGTGTGCATGCCTTTGCGGCCCTTGGCGGCCTCCTGCACGGCCGCGGATGCGTGCACCTTAGAGGGAACGTAGGTCCTGCCCAAAAAGGAGTTGTGGGATGGTCGCAACATTATTATAGGAGGGGCTGTGGTACTGCTACTCTTACTTCTGCGCTGCTGCTGGTGATGCTGCCTTCAGAGCTGAGCAGCTGGAGAGTGGTGGCTGCTCGGAGCCCAGCTCTGAATATTGAGCTGCTGCCAGCAGCACAGAAGTAAGGGTGGCAATACCGTGACCCCCTAAAATAACCTTGTGACCCCCCTGCAACTCCCTTTCGGGTCAGGACCCCCAGTTTGAGAAATACTGGTCTCCCCCCATTAAATTTGTATAGTTTAGGGTAAAAGCGCACACAAGACCAGATTTCACAGTCCATGACATGTTTTTGATGGCTGTGAATTTGGTAGGGCCCCAGTAATGAGGCTATACTACTTGATTAATTAATAAGGAACATCCCTTTTAATTATGTTCCAAATTAATATTTGTTCATAGATATTCCACTTTGTCAAAATGAAGTAGCAACACAAGAAATACTGTACAGGTGAGGTGATCAATACCACGTCTTTCTAAACTTCCTGATGTATTAATTTTTCTTTCTCAGTCTGTTCTACATGTGGGTCTTGGCTGATTGTAAACTGCAGACTAGTGTGGATTGCGTTCAGGGAAGCAGACTTTGCCCTAGGGACACTCCTTCCCGGCCAAATGTCCACTCCCAGTCTACGTGCCCTGGACATCTTGCTTTTATGCAACTGCTAATTCTGCTTGCACGCTAAATTTGAAATCGGGGAGATAGGAGTGGAAAGTCACCGTTTGTAGACTCCGGACGGTGTAAAGATAAATCAAGAAACGTACCTCTCTAATAATAAATGGGAGACGCGCTCGAAGTGCATAGTGGGTGAGAGCACACTGGCATAACAGCAACATCCTTTTTCAGGCGACATGAGCAGTTTTTATAGGGAACAATTCTGCAGCAGGCTACGCTCTTGAAAATGCAGACTGCGTCAGCTGCAGTTTCCCATTAAACTAGTGCCGCGACTCCTTTTTTGTAACTGCACTTAACTGCCTTGTGCAATAGACAACCCCCCGCAGAAGGGCCCTATCCTGAAGCCCTCGCTCAGCCCGGGCTCTAACTTCCACAGCACTTTCGAGGGGTGGGCAGGGAAGGGAGCAAGACGCGTCACAAGTCTCCGACTCTCTGCATCTTACCCTCCTGCCACCTCAACGTTCCGCAAGCGGTGATTGGCCCACAAGAGATGGCTCGCGTACCCTCCAGTGGTGAAAGAAGCCGGAGGCGCGTGGGCATCCGGGTAGCGGGCGCGCTTCCACCCGTCAGTTCATTCACGCGCGGGCAGGAGATTCGCTCGCGCGTCCTCGGCAGCCATTGAGTGGTGGGCTTGGGGAAAGCGAGCGAGCGAGCGAGCTCCCTCCTCCCCGCCCCCCCCCGCTCGCGCGCGCTCGGCAGCCGTTGAGCGGTGGGCTTGGGTAAAGCAAGCTTCCTCCCCCCCCCCCCTCCTCTCTCGCGCGCGCTCTTCCGTAGCGCATGCGCGTTTGGTTCCGGCCCTTTCGGTCTGTTTAAACAGGAAGGCGGACATATTTGTGTGAGTCTTCCCCTCATTCCCGGAGGCAGCTGCGGCCGGACCTTGCTTCGCTTTTTTTTTTTGCCCTTTCCTTTCCGTAGCCGCGCTTGATCCTTTTCCCGGGAGAAGCGGCTTCCTCCGACTGGTCTGTGGGGGAGGGAGATGGGTGAGGAGCCGGGGCTGGAAGTTGCGGCGAGTTGAAGCGCAGCTCCCGGCCGGGGGCTGAAGTAGGGCGGCGAGTCCCTGCGGGGCCGGTCAGGAGGGGCGCGGGGGAGCCGAGGAGGAGCCGCCGGGGGCAGGCAGCGAGGAAGGAAGATGCTGCCGTCGCTCCGCTGAAGCCGCTCGTGCCCGAGGGGTGTCGCCGCGCTCGAGGGGGGCCTCTCCCCCGGAAGTGGGGACCAGGGCGGCCTGCGCAGCTGGCACCCCGCTGCCCGGGGCAGCTTGGGCACAGGGCGGGGGCAGCGCCTGTCCCCGCACCCCGCCCCGGGGCTCCATGGAGGGAGTAGCCCCGAGGCGCTGAGGAGTTTCCTGTTTTCATGGTGGTTTTTGCTTCAAAAGAAATTGCTCTTCGGGAGCTGGCGCCGAGCAGCAGCAAGAGGAGGAACCGCTCCGCTGGTTCTGAGGGCGGCCGCCTGGCTGGGGGAATGCGGCTGGCGAGACCGAGGTGGAGCGAGGGAACCTGCGGGGTTGCGGTCGCAGCCTAGAAACTCGTGTGTGCGGATAGAGGGAACAGCTCTTCCTGCCCCACTCTCGGCTCTAAATCTTTTGGGGGAGCGTCTGAGACTTTCCTCCCCCCTCGCCCCTGACTTCTCTGATCTAGAGGCTACTCAGGAAGCATCGTAGCCTGGTAGCTTACCCTGCTTTGCTCTGGAATAAGGAGAACTCTATTCTCGGAAACATGTCGACAGGAGAAAACTTTGAGGCTCGGTTTGAAAAAATCGATGTGATGTTAAGGGACCCCAAATCTGAAGTGAACGGTGACTGCTTACTGGTAAGTAGCCTGTGCGTGGAGATCCGCCTGCGCCCTGTTTCTGTGAATCTACTGCCCTGTAGGACCACATTCTACACGCCTTGCTTAGTCGCGTTACTTAACTCCTACCTATGTTTGTTTACCAGTAATGAGTGCTGTAGTGTGCGTGAATCTGTGAACTATGAGAGACTTCAGTACCACTGAAGTATCTGCCTATTCTTCACATCTTCACCATAGGTTTCCTACACATGTCTTGTGCTAGTTCTTTGCTTTCACTACTTTTTATAGGGGGCAGTGTTAACTTTGTTGTTCAAAGGGATGACAAGTTATTGCCACTTCTAAACGCAGACACTATCCTGCAGATAGTCATGTGTCGTGGTGTATACATTTTCTGTTTAAAATGAGTGTATTCTTGAGAACTGTGAGGCTTATATGCAACTTATGACCACTTTCATTAGATAATCTCAATACTATTAATACTTCTCATATACATAGTGTTGTGCAACTGCTAACTAATTTTCACAATGTTTTTCCCACCTTTACTACAACAATCTTACATATGGGAAAATAGACATGGGGCTAAATGGCTTGCTCAAAACTTCCTAGTAAGCCTATTGAAGTGATGGGAGAACTGGGGACACTGTTTTCTGTTCCCGTACTTGATCCTGTAGCCCATGCTGCTTCCTCAATTCTTTAGTGTCTTGACACATTTCAGAGTCTTAATGAGTAGCATGTGCTAAAATGAAAGATATCTAGCTCTTGAGATGATTTTCTAAAATGCTAATGGCTGACATTCATATGAAACTAATGCTTGTGTACTGTTAGTTTCTGATTGCTTTGTAATATAAAGCTGAAATAGACTTAGGAATGGCTGGATGCCTTAATTTTACAGTTGTCAAAAGTAGGAACAATAAATTACATAAGCTAGTAAGCCAGTTATGCAAAATTTCTTCTTGCTGGGGTGAAATGCCCACTGAATAAAATAGATTTTTAGTTTTTCAACATTGTTATGGTGAAGGGCAATTGAAGTAGGTTTTGTGTCTGATAAACTTTTGAAAAGTTGTGTTACGCATACACACGATTGTGCTTGTTTTCATAATAAACTATTGAGTTATCTTTTCGTGTTGTGGAAAGATTCAGCTTCAAATGAAGGGGAAAATAGCCCAAGTTTTAAAAGGGGGTATGTGGTTCCGAACAGAATGTGCACCTGTACATAGAATGTGGGTGGTGGAATACAGTGCATTAATAATTTGTAAGCTAAGCAGAAACTTCTACTTAGTTATGGACTTCTGAAGTTCTAGCATCTTGTATTTTAGCCTACCAGATAAACATCTCTTAATGAACAGTGGGGAGTAGGGTATGAGAGCTGATACTGTTTCATGTAATTGCTGAGAAATTCATGCTCTAAAAGATGCAAGGGTCAATTTATTGCTTGCAAGTTGGGGCAATTTGAATATTTGGGTGATGGCTGTACATTCTAACATATTTGAAGTCCTAATGAGTAATAGTATTCTGCATGTATGGAACTACTACTCTTGCTATTCAGAAATTTCTTATTTTTAACAAATTTTATACTCATGGCTAACATAGGGACCTGATAATGATGTACACTGTAAGCCAAGTCCTTGGGTAGCTGCACCTGTGATCTAGATCCTATTTTCACCACTGAAAGTCAAATGTTTTCCTCACGTTATGTATACAACATTATCAGTTTTTATGGTAGCTTTGAGAGCAAATTACTAGCACATCTGCTTGTCCACCTCATAAATCTGACTACAGCCACAACATGGAAGCTGTGACCTAGGAATTGCAAGGATATTGCAACTAGCACAGTTGAGGTGTATTGGAAGAGCTTACCCCAATGTGTCTAGACAGCAAGTGGTGTCAGGATACTTGGTAACAAATACTGCTCTAGCTTATAGTGTAAACTGGACCTTATCCATATTTTGTAGTCTTCTTTTGGTTCATCTACTCTACAGTCTGGAGCCACAAGTGGGGACAGTTGTGTTGGAACCAGGTTCCCTGACCTAATTGTGGTGTTGATAGGGCCTATACATAGCTCCATCCCAGGGCTTAACTCTCTTTAATATTGGGGTCTTACTGGACAGATAAGTTGGATTGAACTCTTGTAGATTCATAGGTCATGGTTTTAAACATACTTTCTTTTGATAAAAATTTCAGAATGAGATTTACTTTCACCTGTTTCTTATCTTTTCTTAGTGGGCACTCCTTTGAAGAGAACAAAAAAATACAGTCCAAAACTTATTTTTGCTGATTGACAGGAAATGCTTTTTTTCCCCCTTTCTAATAGTGTCAATATAACCTGGTGGACTAATGTTGTAAGTCCTTGGTGTCTTACATATAAAATCAGTAGTGACTGGATGTTGACGCTCATGTCCCTGCTTTTTAGACACTTTTTAGTAAAAGCTTACTGCCAGAGCATTTAAAATCTCTACACTAAATTAAGTTGTCATAAGAGGTTGGGTATGTGTTGGTTCTTGTCCATCTAGCACCACAACTTAATATGCTATTTCACAGAAACAAAATACATGATTTCTGGCCTGAATGGTTTACTCTGTGTGGCATAACCTTTTCTGCGGCTTTAATGCTTTTTTTTTTTTTTTAAGAAGTTAGGAATGCATTCTGTAGAGAAACATATTTTACTATTTTTTAAATAGCATTTGAAGCTGGCTAAACCATACCTACATTTCTCTTTTGGAAAAAGTTTAAGGATTAGACTTCTGCTTAACAAAAGCTAGTTCATAGAGCTAGCACAAACAATGTCTGCTTTACGTGCTCCCTGTCTCATTTGCATAGGCTTTGGTCAACTTTTGTGGGCTGTTTTTGCTACTCATCACAATGCTTTTAATTAAAAAAAAAAAAGCTTTTCATTTGAGTGAAAGAATTAATGCTGTTTGTAGTACTAAATATTTTTCTACTCTTCTTAGACTAAAGTGTATCAGTATGCTACGACTGTAATATATCTATTGTATGAAGATCTTAAATTCCCAAACTCATTGTCTATGTATGTAGGTTTAAATGCATCTTAAACTTTTTTTTTTTTTAGGTGCAGGACACTACTTTTTTTTTTTGTAGTTGTCAGGTGTACTTAGTTTCCCCCTCCCCTTCCCCATTATTCCTTTTCTTGAACTTCTCTTGCCCCTTCCAACTTGGTTATTTCATGTCTGTGTTTCCTTGTTATGTAGTTGTGCACAAGTCTGAATGGACACATCATGGACTAGTTTCTCTGTAATCCTCCCGAAATTGAAATATCGTGAGAGCATAAGATAAGGAAAACAAATGCAAAGGGAATGGGAAGTGCCAAAGAAATGAAGGGGTAGTATGAACTGAGGTAGGCGTAGGTGAGGGACATATAACAGAGCCAAGGAAACATGTACCAAGGGAAGGGAAAAACATATCCTAGGAAGAAAAGCTGCACTGGCCAGTAAGAAGAACAAAGTGAACTTGGGGAGAAAAAATATAATGATACAAAGAGGAAGAACAAAAGAAATTCACACAGCTTTTTATTAACTACTTAATTTATAACTGTCTTCAGTTAATTTTATTATGTGTTGGTGTGGTAGTTCTACAGCTTTAGTTTCTTTCTTTTAAAAAGTACATGTTACAGCATCAGGTAACTTCTCAAAATATCAAGCCCTAGGAGTCTAATATGTAATGTTGAAAAGATCAAATAAAACAGCAGAGGGTGTGTTAAACAAGTAGTCAGACACTGTAGGGTGTGCACTAATGAGATATTGGTGCACACCTAGTGTATTAAACAGGGCCAGAGGCAAAATAAGAAATTAGCTATTAATGCAAGCTGTCTGTTTCACTAATTACATTAAACAGTTAAAACTTTTGTTCACTGAATTTACTTTAATAACACAAAAATCGATAATCAGAAAATAGCCCAAATCTTTGTGTTTTAGTAATTTAAAACTTTATGGAGGAAAACCTTTTGGTCTGAAATGTCTCATGCTTGTTTCTTATTCAAAAGTAACTTTAAATGGTAGTTTGGTAAAATTCCACTTGGCTATTTTTGAATTCTGAGTACAAAAAGTTCTAATTTGTTTCACGCCTTAAATATTGTTCAGACATTTGACTAATTCAAACAGCTTAATTTTAAAACTTCAAACTCAGCGTAGTCTTAATCCTCATAAGACAAGTGCCTCTTGACTTGTTCAGAAAGTTGGCTTAAAAATAACTGTTTGATAGTAGTGTGTACTGCATTATCCCTGCTAATTTTATCTAGCCTCAGAAGAGGTATCAGACATATTTTCAAGCAACAGAATCTAAGTGCAGCTTTTGGATTATGCAATACTTTTCCTAGCAGTTTGGTGGTGATGTGATTTTAGACATTATGGTCTTTCTTGGGTATAATGAGATTACTGACTCTCCATGTTAATGGGACATCCAAAGTCATACTTGTCTTAGTGATTGGCTGAACAAAAAGTAGGACTGAGTGGACTTGTAGGCTCTAAAGTTTTACATTGTTTTGTTTTTGAGTGCAGTTATGTAACAAAGTCTACATTTGTAAGTTCACTTTCATGATAGAGATTGCACTACAGTGCTTGTATGAGGTGAATTGAAAAATACTATCTTTTATCATTTTTACAGTGCAAATATTTGTAATAAAAATAATATAAAATGAGCATTGTACACTTTTCTGTGATGTAACTGAAATTGATATGTTTGAAAATGTAGAAAAACATCCGAAAATACTTTATACATTTCAATTGGTTTTCTCTTGTTTAACAGTGTGATTAATCACAATTAATTGTTTTGAGTTAGTTGGGTGAGTTAACTGCGATTAATTGACAGTCCTACTAGGTACCTGTAATATTGGGCTAATAATGCTTACCCAAATGCTTGAAAATCTACAGGTGCAGAAGGGAATGAAGTACAAAATGTTATTTTAATCACAACTTTAGATGGTTTAACTTTAACCAAATGATTCAGTAACTTGGCTTGGAGGCACTCTCTTTCTTAGTGAGTGGAGGCACTGGCTGTGGAACTTGGCT